AATGTGGCCCAGGAATGGAGTTCTGGGAACTAGAAGAACACGAAGTGGCCTACAGTTGGCTCCGGGCATTCAAAATCATGCCCGGGAATGGAGTTCTGGGAACTTGAAGAGCACGAAGTGGCCTACAGTTGGCTCCGGGCATCCAAAATGTGGCCCGGGAATGGAGTTCTGGGAAATCGAAGAGCACGAAGTGGCCTACAGTTGGCTCCGGGCATCCAAAATGTTGCCCGGGAATGGAGTTCTGGGAGGTCGAAGAGCTCCGGGCACTCAAAATGTTGCCCAGGAGTGGAGTTCTGGGAGGTCGAAGAGCACGAAGTGTGTGACTGTTCATGAAAAACGAGCCCGGCTTTGTTCCCGGTTCTCCAGAATGTGGCCCGGGAATGGAGTTCTGGGAGGTCGAAGAGCACGAAGTGTGTGACTGTTGGCGAAAAGCGAGCCCGGCTCTGTTCCCGGTTCTCCAGAATGTGTCCCGGGAATGGAGTTCTGGGAGGTCGAAGAGCACGAAGTGTGTGATTGTTGGCGAAAAACGATTCCCGGTTCTCCTCCCCGGCACCCGCCCAGACCCCCCTGAGGAGTCATGATGCTCTCTTTTGACACCTAGAAACCTATCAGCAAAAGCTGTTAGGTAAAAAGAACCACGACCAAACCGTAAGAAGTCCAGCACGCCAGGCACCCCTGCGATGATCGACAGGGAGAGCGGATCGAAGACGCCTACGGCGAATCACCGCCGCCCTGCCTTTTTGGAAGCGCCTATGTGGCCGAACGTTGAGGCCAGACCTGCCAAGCTATCGGACCATGTGTTCCCCGAATCGGTTTGGAAAGCCTTCGGGGAACACGTGGGCATCTTGAAGGTCATCTTGGCCGTCTGGAGGCCATTTTGACCCTTTCGGGCCTTCTTGGAGGACGTCTTGGAGGGCTCTTGGGCCGTCTTGGAGGCCAACTTGAGCGTCTTGGAGAGGCCGTGTCTTGGGCCTCGTGGGCGATCTTTGGGGGCACGGGCCGTCGGAAGGCAGAAACAAAGTAAATGCCACAATCATTCAAGAACCCATTGGAAATCTTGCCTTTTCGGGCCTTCCTGGAGGCCCTCTTGGAGGCCTCTTGGGCCGCCTTGGGCCATCTTAGGGCCATGCTCGGCCGTCTTGGTGGGCTCCTGGTCCGTCTGACGTCGTCAGAAGCCGTTCGGGGGGCCTCTATGGGCCGACTTGGGGCCCTCTTGGAATGCTCCAGGGCCTTCTTGGAGGCCATCTTGGGCGTCTTAAAGGCCTCCTGGCCCGTCTTGGGGGCCTCTTGGGGCAGTCTTGGGGACCTCTTGGGGCAGTCTTGGGGGCCTCTTGGGCCGTCTCGGGCCATCTTGGAGGCCTCGTGGGTGATCTTTCGGCGATCTTGGGGGGCTCTTGGGCCGTCTCGAGCCGTCGGAAGGCCGAAACGAAGCAAATGTCAAAGTCCTTCAAAAACCTATGGGAAATCAATGTTATTGACCTCGTCTGGCCTTCCTGGGGGCCCTCTTGAAGGCCTCTTCTGGCCTTCTTCTGGCCTTCTTGGAGGCCCTCTTGGGGGCCTCATGGGCCGTCTTGGGCCAGCTTCGAGCCAACTTCGGCTATCTTGGTGGGTTCCTGGCACGTCTGACGCCGTCGGGAGCCGTCTTCGGGGCCTTCCTGGGTCGACTTGGGGCCCTCTTGGGGCGCTTCGGGGCCGTCCAATCTTGGGCGTGTTGGAGGCCTCTTGGGCCGTCTTGGGGCCCTCTTGGGGCCGTCTTGGAGGCCATTTGGGCAGTCATGGGGCCCTTTGGGGGCCTCTTGGACGATCTTGGGGGCATCTTGGGCCGTCTTGAGCCGTCGGAATGCAGAGAAGAAGCAAATGCCAAAATCCTTCAAAAACCTATGGGAAATCAATGTTTTTGGCCTCTTCGGGCCTTCCTGGGGGACCTCTTGGAGGCCTCTTGGGCTGTCTTTGAGGCCCCTTGGGGGCCTCTTGGGCCGTCTTGGGACATCTTCAGGCTATCTTAGGCCGTCTAGGGTACATCTTGGGCCGTCTTGGAGGCATCTTGGGGCCATCTGAGCCGTCTTGGAGACCATCTTGGCCGTCTTGGAGGCATCTTGGCCGTCTTGGAAACCATCTTGGGGCCGTCTGGGGCAGGAAATCCCACGGCAACCACCTCCAGAAAGCCTCCTGGGACCCCGGCGGGACGCGCCGAAGGCCCAGGGGGAGTTCTTTTGGAAAAAGAACCAAAACCAAAACCGAGAGGGTCTAGCACGCCAGGCACCCCTGTGATGAATCAACAAGGGGCGGCGGATCTAGTGACCTTCGGCCCATCCCCTGGTCAGAATATTATCGGCTGCCTCTTAGGGTTTCTTTGGGGGCATCTTGGGGCCTCTTTTGAGCCTGCTGGGCGCCTGCTGGGGGTCTCTTGGGGGCATCTTGGGCGTCCCTTCGGGTCCTCTTGGGCCCACCTGGGGGCCTCTAAGCACACTTGGCACCTCCGGCGCCTTTGGTCTGGGGGGACATCTTGGCACACAAGAGGGCTCGTTGGGCCAGCTCGGGTTCGCCCATCCAGGGCCGAAACAGTTTAAGAACATGTTAGTTTGGTTCCTAAGTTCTGGCTGCAGGGGGGGTCACACAGCTGCTCCAGACGCCACGCGGGACGCCGCAGGAGCTCCGGCACTTGGGACCTGGGCCCCGCGAAGAGCATCGCAAGGCTCGGCACAGAGAGCCCTAGGGCACTTGAGGACATGCCAATTGGTGCCGACGGCACGGTTCTGGATACCACAGGCGGGTCCCCCTCTCAGCAGTCGTGTCCTCCAGCACCCGCGGCAAGACATGTCACTCGCCTCGTCTGGATTGCACTCGCGCTCGAGGTGTCTGTGCCCCTCGTGCGCCCACGACGATGCCTGACGCCGCACTCGACCGCCGTGCCAGAGCAGCACCCGGAGGCTGCACGAGACCCCTCGGCCCCGCCGATCCGCGGAGCTCGTGGCCGCATCCGAGCTCTCCCGAGCGAGAGGTGGACCTCGCCCTCCCCCTCCGAGATCGTGGGGGGTAGGGGTGCACGTTGTTCATGTCTAATTCTTCGAGGGTTCTTTGATTTTTGTTGGGGGGGGGCGACGCGGGTGCTGGCCTGTTCTAGGGGAACAAAAAGTGGCACAACCATAAAAACTCGGAGGTCCGCGCGGATTTCAAGGATCGGCGCTGGACCCCCCTCCCTGGCGCGCGGAGCCCGCCAGGGGCGGCGCCGGAGGCGCCGCCGGAGGGCCCCAGCGCCGATCCGAGAAATCCGCGCGGACCTCCGAGTTGTTGTGTTTATGTCACGTTTTGTTCCCCGTTTTTGGGGCCGCTTTTGTTGCCGGTCGCCGTTTCCATTTCCAAGGGACATGTACTTGGAAAAAAAACGTAAAAAAAACGGCCCTGCCGTTTCCGGGGCCCACAGAGGGCAGGGGTACACGTTGTTCATGCCCAATTCTTCGAGGGTTCTTTGATTTTTGGGGGCGGGGCCGACGCGGGTGCTGGCCTACTCTGTAAGAACGGTTTTTTGAAGGCAGATCTGCCTTCAACTGCAAGGGGGAAAGACTGGTCTACTCTGTAAGAACGGTTTTTTGAAGGCAGATCTGCCTTCAGAAAACCGTTCTTACTTTGAAGGCAGATCTGCCTTCAAAAAACCGTTCTTACTTTGAAGGCAGATCTGCCTTCAAAAAACCGCTCTTACAGAGTTCCCCGCTGCCCGCCAAGCTGCAGGCAGAGTGCGGGCAGGCCGCAGCGGGCCCACGGGGGCGGGCCGCCGGCCTCTCTCGCGGGCGCGTGCCGTGGGAGGAGGAGTCCGTCGCGGGCCGCGGCGCGGTCGCCGGCGGCTCTGCGCTGCACTCCAAGCTTGGGAACCCCCAAACTGTAAGAACGGTTTTTTGAAGGCAGATCTGCCTTCAAAAAACCGTTCTTACAGATCTGCCTTCAAAAAACGTTCTTACAGAGTAGACCAGTCTTTCCTCATTGAAGGCAGATCTGCCTTCAGAAAACCGTTCTTACAAAGAAGAAACAAAATGGAAAAAAGTGGGAGGTGAGATACCAGGTGGCGACCTGGAATCCCCAAAAAGGTCACAGCTGGGTTTGGGGGCGCGGGGTCACCACCGGGTTTTGTGGCTCCTGGACCCACCAGTGTCCGGGACATCCTCGGAAAAGCGCACGAGTCCCCAATCCGGGTGGTGACACCAAATCGCCCGAGACTCACCGCCAGGTGTTGTCACCACCACGTCTGGGGACTACCAACAAGCAGTGGCGAAGCGTCACGGCTCGCCTATAGCCCCACCGAACAATGTTGTAAGAACCTGTTGTGGTTCCCACGACATGTTCTTAGAACATTTCTGGCTGGGACTGTCTTGTTTTAACACCTCGGGTTTCTGTTCCAAGAACCTTGTTTTTGTTCTTAGAGAGTTTTTGGGTTCTAAGAACATTCCGTGGTATGACTATAGGAATGCCAGGACGGTCGGTCCCTGCTCAAGCACTCGGATCGGGGCTCAGGAGACGGGGGACAGTGCAAACGGGAGGTCCGGAGAGGGGGGTCCAGCGCCGATCCGAGAGAGAGGGGGGTCCAGCGCCGAGCCGAGAAGGCCGCGCGGACCTCCGAGACGTTTTGTTCATGTCGTTCCTCGCGCCCCCAGAGGAGGAGAAGGCTGGGGCCCAAGAGGCGGAGGTCCATGCGAGCGGGGTCAGTCAGAACGCCGGATCTTGCAGGATCCTGCAGGGCCGGGGCTGCACTGACCCGGGCTTGGGTGCAGGATCCCGCAGGAGCATGCAAGGCCTGATTGACCCGGGCTTGCACTGACCCGGGTCAGTGCGCCCTCGATCGGGCACAGGACGGACAGGCTGCTTCGGAGGGAACGCGGGGCGCTGACGCGAGGCGAGAGAGCAGCAGTGCAGACTCTTCACTTGAGGCTCGAGCCATCTCGACACCAGCTGCTGTCCAGCTCCCGCTCTCACGGCGGCGGGCGCAGGAGACGGCGGCGCCGCCGTGCATGCACGGGAAGGAGTGCGAATGGATCGGCCCTCCGCCCTGTCCCACGCCGACCGGCCATGCGGCCAAGCTGGTGGTCTTCGATTTCGACCTGACGCTGACCCAGTTCCACGTCTTCAAGAGCTTGGCGGGCTGGATGCTCAGCTCTGCCCTGCTGCTGGCCAAGTTTCGGATGGCCGATGGCCACTCGATCTCTGCACGCACCTGCCAAGATTGGGGGGGGGAATCTGCCGATCGACACGATCGGGGCCCGACCTCCGACGAGGGCTTCCATACACCCATCACACCGTGCCAGGCCAGGGCCACCCCGGGGCCCCGGGATGGTGTGCAGACCCTCCCGGCCTCGGCCAGGACGGCGTGTACACCACGCCGGGGCCAGGAGGGCCCTGGCCTGGAACGGCGGTGGTGTATATCAGCTTTCGGCGTACGACCAGACGTTTCTCCGCCGCAGGCTGGAAGTGCACAGACGAGGAGCGGTTGCCCGTGAGCCCGCCCTACGCCACCACCGAGCTCGGGCAGGTGGTGCGCATCATGGAGCTTAACAAGGGGGGCACGTTCCGAAGGCAGGGCGCTTGCGTCGGGCATGTGGATCAGGAGAGGAAAAAACACACAGACACAATGAATCGTCGATTCCCCAGAGAATATTGGAAAATATGGGAAGGGGGGGGAAGACAAAAACCCAGAACATATGGGAAAATATACGGGAATTCTTGTATTTGTGTGTGTGTGTGTGTGTCCCAGGGCCCCTCCAATGGAGTCAGACGTTGCCGATAGAAGTTATTGCAAGCAGCGTTGTTGACCACAGCTCGTTGATCGTGCGGAGTCGGCGCATTCCTGCAGTGCGGTGCCAATCCGCTCCTTCATGAGAACAGCTTTTTGCGCCTTTGGGTTCCGTTACAGTGGGAACCCATGCCAAGAAACACCTTGCTTGCCTCCAGGGTGCCCCGGGTTTCTTGGTTGTCGTTGGCGTTGCTATGCAAAGCGTGGCGTTCCCACATCGAACATCAATTGACGTCCTAGGGTCTCAGGGTTGGGTTTCTTACATAAGGATTCTTGTGGGCGAGCTCCTACTGTAGAGCTGATGCTGTCAGAATGCCGAGGCCCTGCAGTAGCCACTTCAGCGGCCTGAGCATTCGCACAAGCCCCAATGATCCTAGGGACTTTCCGGGTGAGAGGCATCGAAAAATAGCTAGGAGTTGAGAACGACACATCAGGTCGAACATCTCACCCATGCAGGTGCAACGCGTTCTGTGTCGATCTGCGCTGCTTTCCCCTATACTTCTGGGTGCACGTGGCGGCTGCCGAGCTGGGCTGAGCCAGCAATCTTGACCCAATCACCAACTGACAGCAGTGCGTGATACATAACGAATGCAGCGAGTGGCATGAGCAGCACCATGCTACACGTGAACGGAAGTAACACGGCGTGGCGAATCCTAAAACCATACCAAGCGTGTGCTGGTGTTGTATGCATTCGCTTATCAGGTTGCAACCCAGCGTACACAAACGAGGGACACTTGATGCCAGCACCTGTAAAGCAATGTATGACCAGTCTGTAGAAGCATATAGTTGGAGCAGAGCGTGCACACGCACATGGTATTCACATGTGCGCGTGCGCTTGCATGTGGCGCGGATACCAATTGCGGTCATGCATGGCACACCGTGTCAGTCCATAGCCAGACTCACGTCTGGCCGTTGCATATGTACGCACATGACTTCCCAATTGCGTTTGGACATGACAATACGCATACACGCCCCCCGTTCACTGTGAGGACATGCTGCACATGCAGCCACACTTTCGCATGCGAGCATTCATTGCAGACACAACCACGAACCTACTATGTTCCGCCTCAACGTTTGCATCAGCGTGTTGAATTGAAAGTTATAGCCTCATTGCCGCCCTGTGCCATCATGCCATCGAGGTTGTCCTTTCGCGGAGGTGCATTGGCGGAAGGAGTTTGCAAATGGTTTAATTCGCAATGCAAATTAAACATTAGACGAAAGACACGTTGCAGCTCAACAGTATCAGTTAGCGCCCGTAGAAATTCCACACGAACGCTCTGTCACTCCGTAGCCTATCGCTCACATGACACAACAGGTGTAGCATCAGCGTCCCCTGCTATCGAGAACTGTCGGCTTGTTCTCTCTGTGTGGATTGCTCACCACGTGCTGCTCGGGAGCACCTCGCACACACGGCGTAACATACGTAGATGGGCGGTGCAGGAAGAGGGACGAGGAGGCGGAAGAGTAGGAGGATGAGGAGGGCAGCACCAAGGCGCGGCGGCTTCGCCACCGCGTCATTCGGCGGCCACCGGCGAGTGGCGCGCATGCGGCGGTTGTTGAAGGGCCTCAAGGAGCGGGGCGCTGTGCTGCTGGTGGTTACCAAGGGGCTCGTCGGCACTGTGCGAAAGGTGCTGGACGACCTGGAGTTGCTCACATATTTCAGCCAGGTCTCCTCCTTGCTCCCAGCTCACTCTCCCACGGCATCGGGTTCCCGAATCGTTATATTGTTGCGTTGTGTCTCCTCCGGCCATTCTGCGTCAAGCCATCGCGGGGTAGGGAACGTTGAGGGAGCATCACGATTGCGATTTGGCCAGGTCTACGGACACATGGGCGCGCACTACGGCTCCACGCAGTTCGATCAGGAGTGTGCGATGCAGATTCCTTCTCCGGACGTCACGAGGTCCACGGGGGGGGGGCGAGATTCTGGCAATGCGGGGTTCTTAATCGTAGGCCTCGTTTCTGCACTCCGTCATGGTTTACTCGTGTCTCGTTTCTGTTATTCCCTGTGGGTTCTCTCTGGCACAGATGATACATATATATATATATAGATATACATATATATATACATGTCTATACATATATATATATATAAACATATATATGTGTATCGACGTGTGTCGCGTTCTTCCGCTCTGCGCTGCCCTGTGGTATGGCTCGTTCCACGTTGCTTTCCAGCTCCTCCGCTCTATGATGTGGTTGTGCCGATACTGTTTTACTATCGGCACGTTGGTGTTCCCGTATGGCTTGCCTGACTTGTGGGTGATGATGTACAACACTGTCTTGCGTAATGCGCGCTAAATGTAACCGTGCTTCGCGCATGCAGGAAGTTGTCTTAGCCGCCCTGCCGTGAGAAAAGATGGGGAGGACCATCAGTGAAACAAAGAAAGGCGGCGTCGGTAAGACCGAATCAGGGATCGGCCCAAGCAGCCGAAAGGAGCTCCACCAAGAGTCCCCCCCAGAAACAAGCATTCCAATCTGAGAGCCAGCCCAACGCATTGGCGCAAATGCCACGAGACGGTCCAGGGAGGGCCCCCCAGACTCGAAATTCTGGACAGGGCCTCGGCAGGGCTCCAAGAGCACCCCACAAGATCACGAACTTGATCGCAAGATGCCCTCCCAGCCGCCAAATCTGAGGCTCCGCCCAGTCAGGCTGTTCATCCGTGGCTCGCCCTTCTCTCCGCGATTGCCCCGGGCGGCCACCACACCAGACTGCTAGCCTCTTCCAGCCTACAGGCGAGAGGAGGAGGAGGAGGAGGAGGAGGAGGAGGAGGAGAAGGAAGAGGAGGAGGAGGGGGAGGAGGAGGAGGAGGGGGAGGGGGAGGAGGAGGAGGAGGATTAGGAGGAATAATAGGAGGAGGGTTCTGTTTCAAGAGCTGGCGGCGCCCAGAGAGCGGCGGTGCTGCACTGTCCCTGAGTGCGTGGCCGCAGCGGGCTTCCGCCACGCGGATTCTTACCCAGATGTCGTAATAAAAGGGAGGGGGTCTGGACCCTCCAAGACAAGCCATGTCAGACCTCCCCCGTGGGAGAACCCTCCAAAACATCGTCCCCAGACCCCCCCAGGCCCTCCAAGATAGCCTGGAAGAGACCCCCCCCGAAATGAGACCCCCCTCCCTTTTATTACGAAATCTGGAGGACCTCATCGGCCCGCGACCCGCCCCTCGTCCCGCCAGCGACCTGGCTTCGGCCCACCGGCGACCAGCCCGTGGCCAGCGTCTGCCCCTACTCAGCCCCGCTGCTACTCCAGATTTTGTAATAAAAGGGAGGGGGTCTCATTTCGAGGGGGGGGGTCTCTCCCAAGCTATCTTGGAGGGCCTGGGGGGGTCTGGGGACGATGTTTTGGAGGGTTCTCCCACGGGGGGGGGGGGTCTGAAATGGCTTGTCAGGGAGGGTTGAGACCCCCTCCCTTTTATTACGAAACCTGGAGTACCCAGTCCCGCTGCTACCCGACCCGCCCAGCGACCTGCCCGCGACCTGCGCCAGGGAAGTTGCGGGAGCTTGCGCCAGAACAGCCGTCCTGTGCCGTGGCCATTGTCTGTCCAAACAGCCTCGGCTTTTGTGCACCAGGTTACAAGCTGCACACAGGGTCCTGGCCGGTATTGCCCTGGTGTGCTCAGGCCAGCGTTTGCCCACATTGTCCAGTGTTTGCCCACACGGCCCCATCCACCGTGTCTTGACCCTACTCGCCTTTGTGTGTCAGATTCGATGGTTGCCGGGAGTGTCCCAGCCGTAGGCTTCTAGCAGTTGCTATTGTGTGTTGGGGGTGCGGTGGTGGTTGCCAGGGTCTTGGCTTGAAATGCCCTGTCAGACATCTCTTATTGTTTGGGGCCAGCGCGCCTGTATCAGTTTATGATTTGGCGTGGTCCCCCACATCATCCGCTAAAGCCAGAGCGTTCATTTATTAATCGCTTCGCTAATTCCGCCGGCCCATGATGAGGCACCGCGGTCGATTGGGCGAGAGGTCGTCGGCAGTGCGGAGTTGCAGGGGTCGGCGCATGTTTTTTTTTTTCTGAGGCGTTGCGTTCGGGGTGGTGGTGTTAAAGCTGCCCCCGCGAAACAGCTTGCGGAGGCTTTGGGCGGGGATTGCGGAGCTTTAGGGTGCGAGGTGGAGGAGGCGAGAAGGAGGAGGTGCCGTTTGGGAGGCCTGTTGGGATCGTTTGAGAGGCCGTTCGAAGGCGCCTGGAAGCTTTCTGGGGCCTCCTGGGAGCCTCTTGGCGGCATCTTGGGCCTCTTGGGGGCCTCTCGGGGCGTCCTGGGGCCCTCTTGGGGTAGAAAGCTAAAGTTGTCGGTTCGTGGTTCCTCTTTTGGGCCCCTCTTGGGGTTGTCTTGGGGCTCTCTTGGGCCGTCTTGGTGCCTCTTGGGCCGTCTCGGAGCCTTCTTGGGCCGTCTGGGGGCCTTCTTGGAGGCCTCTTGGGCCGTCTTGGGGCGCTCTTGGGGGCCTCTTGGGCCGTCTTGGAGCGTCGGAAAGGCGAGGAAGCCAAAAACTTTCAAAAACCTAAGAGAATCACTGATGTTTGTATCTTGGGGCTCCGTTTTGGAGCGTTTGGGGGTCTCTTTCGGGCCTCTTGGCGCCTCTTGGGGCCTCTTGGGGGCCTCTTGGGGCGTCCTGGAGGCTTCTGGGAGCGGAAGGCTCGGATTTTCGGTTCGAGGTCTCCATTTGAGGCCCCTCTTGGAGCCCTCTTGGGCCGTCTTGGGCGCCTTTTGGGCTGTCTTGAAGCTCTCTTGGGCGGTCTTGGGGCTCTCTTGGGGGCCTCTTGGGCCGTCTTGGGGTGGTCTTGGGGGCTTATTGGGGGCCTCTTGGGCCGTCTTGCAGTGTCGGAAACGCGAGAAAGGCCAGGAAGCCAATTACGTTACCGAGGAACCCCACACACCTATCTTATTTCCCATGTGTATCATCGGTGCTTCTGCTGCTGCTCCTCCTTCTCCTCCTCGGTGTCCTCCTCCTGCTGCTGCTTCTGCTGCTGCTGCTTCTGCTGCTGCTGCTGCGTCTGCTGCTGCAGCTGCTGCTGCTGCTGCCGCTGCTGCTGCCCCACCTCCCCGTCCTCCTCCTCCTCCTCCTCTTCTCCTCCTCCTCCTCCTCCTCCTCCTCCTCCTCCTCCTCCTCCTCCCCCTCCTCCTCCTCCACCTCCCCCTCATCCTCATCCTCTATTTCCTCCTCCGTCCTACTCCCAGCGCACCCCTGTGGCGTCGAGGAAATGCCACGCTGCCAGCCCTGAGAGCCTACAGCGCATAGGGCCACCCACCCCCCAGCGCATACCCCCTGTGGACGTCGAGGGAAAATGCCGCCGCCTGCCACGCCTTGGGAGCCCACAAGCGTAGGGGCCCCCACCCCCCGCGCACCCCCTGTGGCGTCGAGGAAATGCCGCATTTGCGGGGGAAATGCCACGCCTGCCACGCCCTGGGGCCTGCAACGCATAGGGCCCCCACCCCCAGCGCACCCCCTGTGGCGTCGAGGAAATGCCACGCCTGCCACGCCCTGGGAGCCTACAACGCATAGGGCCCCCACCCCCGGCGCACCCCTTGTGGCGTCGAGGAAATGCCACGCCTGCCACGCCTTGGGGGCCTGCAACGCATAGGGCCCCCACCCCCAGCGCACCCCCTGTGGCGGCGAGGAAATGCCACGCCTGCCACGCCTGTGCGCTAGGGCCCCCACCCCCACGCATCCCTTGTGCCGTCGAGGAAATGCCACGCCTGCCACGCCCTGGGAGCCCAGCGCATAGGGCCGCCACACCCCCGGCGCACCCCCTGTGGCGTCGAGGAAATGCCACGCCTGCCACGCCCTGGGAGCCTACAACGCATAGGGGCCCCCACCCCCAGCGCACCCCCTGTGCCGTCGAGGAAATGCCACGCCTGCCACGCCCTGGGAGCCACAGCGCATAGGGCCCCACGCCCAGCGCACCCCCTGTGGCGTCGAGGAAATGCCACGCCTGCCACGCCCTGGGAGCCTACAGCGCATAGGGCCCCCACCCCCAGCGCACCCCCTGCGGCGTCGAGGAAATGCCACGCCTGCCACGCCCTGGGAGCCTACAACGCATAGGGCCCCCACCCCCCGCGCACCCCCTTGTGGCGTCGAGGAAATGCCACGCCTGCCACGCCCTGGGAGCCTACAACGCATAGGGCCCCCCCAGCGCACCCCCTGTGGCGTCGAAGGAATGCCTTGAGTGCTGTGCTGTGCTGTGCTGTGCTGTGTTGCTGTGCGGTGAGCTGTGCTGTGCCGTGCTGTGCTGTGCTGAGTTGAGCTGAGCTGAGCTGTGCTCAGCTGTGCCGTGCTGAGCTGAGCTGAGCTGAGCTGTGCTGAGCAGTGTTGTGAGGAGGAGGGGAAGAGTGAGGTGTGTGAGAGAGAGGCGGAGAGGGAGGTGTGGGTGTGTGAGTGTCGCGGGTGCGGCGCGGCAGGGGGGATCACGCTACCGAGGAACCCCACACACCTATCTGATTCCCCATGTGTACCATCGGTGCTTTTGCTGCTGCTGCTCCTCCTTCTCCTCCTCGGTGTCCTCCTCCTGCTGTTTCTGCTGCTGCTGCTGCTGTTTCTGCTGCTGCTGCTGCGTCTGCTGCTGCAGCTGCTGCTGCTGCTGCCGCTGCTGCTGCCCCACCTCTCCGTCCTCCTCCTCCTCCTCCTCCTCCTCCTCCTCCTCCTCTTCCTCCTCCTCCTCCTCATCCCCCTCCACCTCCTCCTCATAGTTTTTCGGCTCGCGAGGAGCTGCCGCCCCCTTCGGGCGCCTGCGGGGTGCAGGCGAGGGGGATTCGGCTCCCGGCGCGCGCTGAGACTAGCGCTCGCGCGACGGCGGCTCCCAGGGAGGCCGCCGCCCACCATCGAGCGCGACTTCGACGCAAGGAGGATCGCGCCCTCCTCCACGCCTGGGCTGGTCGCCTGTCTCCAGGCCTGGCGGCGAGGCTGCGCAG